CCCCCCCCCCCCCCATCCCCCGGGCAAATACAACACCACGGACCGCCAGGGATGCGGACCCGGCCGGCCGCATTGGCCACCCATGCTTCCCATTAGTTCGCTCGAAGGAGCCGTTATAAATCGTACCTATTTTACACCTCGTACTAAGGATTGATGGATGTACTTTAATGCGATAAACTAGCGCTTAGAAGTAACAGTAATATTACATTTGTAATGAAGCACATCCCTTAATGCAAGACCCATTATGAATGCCCCCCTCCCTCCCTTCAAACCCACCCCGCCCACTCCCCGTTAACTTACCCCCAAATGGTGCCGACTCGCTTGTCAAACGACATACTTGTCCAATTGCCAAGCTAGTTTTTTTGCCCTGACTTAGATCAGCCCAGAGGTCGTTTCAGGGTTCGATTTAAAATTTGAGGGTCTAGTGATGGCACTGGACTGAGCTTGTGACTTATATAATACCCGGATTGGGCTTCCTGTGTTTACATTTGTCTCGTCTTGTTGCCTACAACAACAACATCTAACTCACTTCGAAGATTCAACCGCGAAAAATGTCCTTAAGAACCCTTCCAATACTCTTCCTTAACCTTGGAGGAGAGATGTTATATATCCTAGACCAAAGGCTACGAGCTCAAGCCATCCCAGAGGAAAAAGCAAAGAAAGGTCAGGCAAAAAACTAAACTTTATTCCCGAGAGAAAGAAATGGCGTCTCGTTGTAGACTCAACATGAGACACATTTTAATCCTTTTTATACTCAGTTTTCTATACCTTTACTTCTATCGATCCATAACTTAAAGCTTCGTTGTTGCTTGGAGTAAAGATAGAGATTTTAAGAATGCTTTTTGGTTATTTTTTGGCATATTGAAGGCGTTGATTGTGGGTTAAATTAACCTGGGTTTATGATTTTCAATCGATGCATAATTTTTCAGACTTCAAATTTCCAAATGCCTTTTTTTATTTAAACAGCTGCAAAAACTTCTATCTAAACACTCGATCTAATGCAAAAAGGATGTCAAAATCATTCCAAATATTGAGACTCGTCAATTAATAAGTAAAAGTGAATATAAAATATGCTTTCTGAGATCTTATTTTTTTAGAATTTTTTGCCAATGTTTCTGTAAAATAAATAATTTTCAATCCTTAATTTTTGAGTTCTTGCTTAAGATCAGTTTGCCCAAAATAGACAATTATTTCAAATTATCATACAGTGAAATATTTCCTATCAGATCTTGAATTTTTAGCTTTTTATCAGATGAAGAATACTTCCATTACACTATTTAATTATATTTGAACTTGAATCATTACCCAAAAGCTTAAATTCAAAATGAAGATAAATCTGAATTTATTTAGTATACTGGTTCGTAAAATTTGTTTTATTTTATTGTTTGTATTTTTTTCTACTTTATTTTTAAGCTGCACAACACCTTGAATGGATGAAAAATGGGAAAAATTTTGAAATGACATTTTATTATCTTTGTATTTTTTGATGAATGAGTATAACATTGTTATTGTTATGTTAATCTTCAGTATCTGTTATTGTTAGCTTGAAAGAAACTTGGTACAAAAGGCTTGCCAATTAAAAAAATTTCTGTATATTCTAATATACAGTACAGTTGCATATTCATGTTTAATAAACTAGTATATAATTTTTTTTTTTAATATATTTATTTGTCAAGAATTTTAAAAAATACATGTAAAGGAGAGAGTTTAAAAGAAATCTTGATGTAAAGTCATTAATTTTTTCTGCTCATTGTACTATAAAATAGGTACCCTTATAAGCTATAAAAAATTAATTGGAACAACTAGTTTATTGAAGTTCAAATATATCTTGAGGTTATTTACCATCCAGGAGGTCCAGATAGAACAAAAAATCTTACAGTATATGATAGGGATGTCAAGTTTTCCTCGCAACATTTTGTAAAATAAAGATTTATTTACAGTTGTTGCAACCAAGCGTGAACACCAGACACTAAAACATATTCTATCTGGCAGCCGAAACGTTGAAGTTAATCAACCAGAACATGTATGTTTTGTAATGATTCCTTGGACGGTTGGGCGCGCAAATTCCTTCAGGTACTTCAATCTTGAAAGAATCAAAATCGTTTTCTCTCCAGTACTTCATGCTTTTGTTTGAAGTAAAGCCTTTTTTTCCAAAATGTGAAGAATACTGAAGGAGATCAGGATCGATCTCTTCTAGAAACTCACTTATTGTCTACTCTTTTGAAGGAATCCATGACCAACACCAACAGATCAACATGCACGCATATTTGAACAAACGTTGTCATCAGGCTGGTACTTTGGCGTCAAACCTCAACGTTCCGGTTGACTAACTTCAACATTCCAGCTGCCACTTAGAACATGTTTTAGTGTCTGGTTTTCACGCTTAGTTGCAAATGACTGTATTTATTTTAGGGATTTTTTCTTTTTTATTTCTAGTAATGCATGATATTGTTGGCACAATGTTCAACAAGCGGTTTGTAGAAGAGCTCTTCAAACCCCAAGATACCTATTCCAAGAAAGCCATGCGAACTGTGTTTGATCGCCTGGCGCATGCATCCATCATGAGACTCAACACCGCCAGCATGGATAAGGTAACTAATACTGCAAAAAAATGGACCACTTTGATGATACGGCAGCCATCTTGGTGGAAAATATATAGAGTTTCGTGTGTTTGTCTTTTTTTATGTGTAAAGGTGATCGATGTGCCGTCTTAATTCATCTTTTGTTGTATTCTCTTGTGTTGAGCTGTTAATATCAATCAAAGCTATATATGCCCCTGCAATCCAAGATAGCTGTCGTATGAATGAAGTAGTCCATCTACTATTATTCTGAAGCACTTCATTGAAGCTAAAGATAAGAGTGAACTTTCCCCACTTCAATAACATTCTTCAACTCGTATTTATCCTGTGTATAAATTATTTCTATTACAGCTGTATGACTTGATGACCATGGCTTTCAAATACCAGGTATGGTTGTTACTTAAAATCCTTAACCAATCTATAGGTTTTCAATTGCACCACACCCTGAAACAACCTTTTTAAGAGCTAAATTTAGTCAGGGCATGCATTTTGACTAACTCAAAGATCAGTGAAACAACTTCTGGGCAAAATTTAGTCAGGCATTGCTAACTCACAGATTAGACACTGAAACAACCTCTAGGCTGATCTAAGTCAGGGCATGGCTAACTCACAGATAGAACCCTGAAACAACCTCTGGGCTGAACTAAGTCAGGGCATGGCTAACTCACAGGTACAACCCTGAAACAACCTCTGGGCTGATCTAAGTCGGCATGGCTAAATCACAGATCAAACCCTGAAACAACCTCTGGGCTGATCTAAGTCAGGGCATGGCTAAATCACAGATCGAACCCTGAAACAACCTCTGGGCTGATCTAAGTCAGGGCATGGCTAACTCACAGATTGAACCCTGAAACAACCTCTGGGCTGATCAAAGANGATCGAACCCTGAAACAACCTCTGGGCTGATCTAAGTCAGGGCATGGCTAACTCACAGATTGAACCCTGAAACAACCTCTGGGCTGATCAAAGACAGGGCACGGGTAACTCTTTGAATTATTGGATCGATTGACAGGTGTCATTGTGTATGAGACCTTCAGATGTTCTTCTTGTTACCTATAACCACATGGATTCAATAAGAAGCTTTGTGTCAGACAACCCTACCATCAGTACACAAGTTGAAAATGTCTATAAACATCTCTACGAGGTATGTTATATATAATTAATATAGCCACAATAAACAAATGCTCTAATTGGTTAATTGATGTGCAGAAGCTTGCATCCAAAACTTGATTAATTGCACGCTGACATGCATAATTAAAAAGCACTCCCTATGTAATGAAGATTTCGTTAGAAAGTGGATTTTTCTTTTTGTTTAACAAAGAATTTTTTTATGGTTTTGCCATTTTTGTTATGAGGAGATTAGTTATTGATTAGAAAGAAAACTTGTCATCAACAATCAGCAGCACAAAGTACAGTAGTGGCGCAGCTCAACGGGGTCAAACTGAAAGCATGTGAAGGCGCGTCTGGCAGCCGCTATACAGTCCAAGTATGACTCTGGAGCACAAGTCTAACCAGTTTGAATTAGGTCGGTTGCATAAGCACTCAAGAAGCTAGATGATTTCACCTCTTTCATCTCGCTTTCTTTGGAATAAAATTCTTTGTTTGAGTTTTATCCATATTCATGTGTCTTTTCTTGTGCAATCATTAAACAAAGAAATAATACTCTAGGGAATGACACATGGTCTGAAATGGGAAAAACAGTGGATTAAGTCTATTAATAAGCTAATTGGCACGTGCATATGTTCATGTCTTTTCTTGTGCAATCATTAAACAAAAATTAATACTCTAGGGAATGACACATGGCATCAAATAGGAAAAACAGTGGATTAAGTCTATTAATAAGCTAATATTTGTACGTGCATATATATGTTCATGTTTCAGACCTATGCAGACCTTAGCCTGGGTCAGTTCCAGGTTGTGCGTCAAACTCTTCTGACATTCTTTCAAGACATGCATATCAGGGTGTCAATCTTTTTAAAAGATAAAGTACAGAACTCTAATGGCAGATTTGTTATTTCTATTGATGGGCCTGTACCTTGGGATACTGAAGTACCCGGACCTATAAGGTGATTGTTCCTATCGGCAGAGTTCACTCCTTAAAATAAATGATATTATACTGAGAGAATAAGAGAAAAATATCAAATGCCCTTGGCGGGAATCGAACCCACATCTTCCGTATTCTAGTCCGATGTGTTAACCACTACACTACAAGGACCAACCACGCTGGTAACGCAGTCGGAATATGAAATGTAGGATATTTTTCTCTTAATCTCTCTATTTCATTTTTCACACCGAATGCATAATTTTTTACTACTATGATATAATATTGTATTAAGTGTGCACGCCATATATCCGTGAAACAAAAACAAAGATGTGATAAATATAAATGATAAAATAAAACTACACAATTTGGTAGGGTACTAAATAGAATTACACAGACACAGAAAAATTTTCATCCAGTCCCCGTCTCAATCGAATTAGATTTTTGCAGAGGGAGAAAAAACAGAGAAACTTGAGAAAAATCCTCAAAGCAGTTCCCTCCCTCCATAAAAGTCAACATGTGAGTTGAGTGTTGTGTGCAATTAGAATATTGAATGTAGTGGTAGTGTGTGTGTGTGAGTGAAAAGTGTCCCCAATTAGTGCAAAAGCGCTAGAACGACTAGACACAAAAATATAAATATTGTTTATTTTTTAAGAAGATGTTTTTGACAATTGTGCATTATTTTCGTTTAGATATTTTGGTGACAATGGACAGGTTACCAAGACAATGCATTTTTCAAGTGGTTGTCAACACCACTTGACTGACAAACCTGGCTCGTTTGAATTACTAGGTGATCGTGTAATTAAATTAGGAACAAACATGTGAGTAGCTGAACAACTTTGCCATTATAGTGAAGCAAGTGGGGTGTAGTGGTAGTACACTCAGGCTTAAATATCGAACTTCACAAGGGTGGAACTTAATTGAAAAAATGGTTAACAAGGCGGTCTTCTTTGATGTCATTAGATTTGGCTCATGTTAAGTTCAATGTTTGACAAGAGCCTCACTTTGTTAGTATTGATGAAGTAATTTTGGACTAAGAGAGCTGCTGAGAGAAAGCTTTGAGAACCGAGAAAAACCCATAAAATACACAAAAATGTAGCAAATTAACTCTACCTAGTAATGTTCAATGTAGGTTGTGAGAGTACATTGATTTTCACTGAGCATTTGTCTTTTATGCACATCAGGTATACAGTATCGAGATCAATAGAGACGTCTGTGGCATCAAGTTCACAAAATGTGAAACAGAATACCACTAGTAGTACATCAGTACAAACGGACCAGGTAACAGACTTGCTTAATATTGTACATTATCAAACTCATGAATAATTCATGAGGAAAACACAACAGAAATCACGACCATGAAGAGTGTTGTAAATCTGATACAAAACTGTGTTCATTTGCATAAACTTTAAGTTGGATTTTCTTGGCCAAATTCACTTTAATTTTGAAAATTTTAGCGAAACACAAAGGAACTAACCTAGACGTTTGATAAGTCATATACAGTATTCGTGTCCGTGTTGTATCAGATATACAATCACTCGGCTACACCTCGTGGTTGTATATCTGATACAACACGGCCACTCATACTGTATATATTACAAGCAGTATGCTATATATGTATTGGTATACTAGTAGTAATACATCAGTATGGATGGACCAGGTAACGAGACATGCCTTGTACATTATACTATAATACAAGCTGCATGCATACACTATCTTATACATGATTACAAGGTATAAACCTTTCTATTCATTTATCCATTTTTTATTTATTTATTTTTTTGTAATTAAGGAGCCTTCGGATAGTCCCAACCTACTGGCAAAGGAAGAATTGAACCTGTTAGCCCGACTTGTAGGAGGAGGAGGAGGAAGTCCTAGTAAAGGTAAAGGAGCATCGTAAATGAAAACTGATATTGCTTATAAAAGTGTGTGGAGGTTACCTGCTTCTTGCTTAATCTAAGTCTAGGACAGCTAATATTCACAGACCTTATTGTTTTTTAGGTCAGGGATTCCGTATAAATCTTTTCAATACAGACGAAGAAGAAGAGTAAGTATGATTTACATGTAATTGTTCTAACGAGCCAAAGTACAGTGGGGTGGGGTGCAGATTTTTTGCAATTTTTTTTTCCTTTGTGTGTTAAGATTTTGTTAACTGATTTCCCATCTATATTGTTCACTTCCAGAATTGCTGCTTCTACTCCAACTAGAGGAGAAGATTCCCACAAAGTTATTAAAATCGACGCCACTAAGGTAACAGACTTGCCCATTAAACTTTTAGCGTATACGTGAAGGGGAAAAAATCATCCATCCATCAAACCATCCACTTATTCATTCATCCATCTTTCTATCCATCCATCGCCATCCATCCACCCATCCTCCCTCCCTCCTTCCCTCTGTCCATCTGTCTATTCATCCATCTTTCAACCCATCCATCTTTCCACCCATCCATCTACCTCTCTCCGTCCGTCCATCCATCTTTCAACTCATCCATTCCTCCACCCATCCATCTACCTCCCTTTGTCTGTCCATCTCTCATTCCATCCATTCATCCACCCATCCATCTACCTCCCTCCATCCGTACATCTTTCAACCCATCCATTCATCCACCCATCCATCTACCTCCCTTTGTCCGTCCATCTCTCATCCCATCCATTCATCCACCCATCCATCGACCCATTCGTACACTATTAATGTAACCTCATTGTAATACGTAGAAACAACAACGGCAAGAGCTGTCACAGCTGATGGATGAGTTTTCGATAGAAGAATCTGGCGCAGACCGTAAGACATTTGAAATTACATTACTTGTTTAACTAAGAGCATACCCTATACAATAGCAGCTGGGATGATTAAAGGTGGTGTTACACAGAACAACTTGCAACACCGATTTTTCGTGTAACGCTATTGCGCCATTTGTGTGTCGATTTTTTTCGACATGTCAACATTTACTTTAGTATTCAGTCCACGCGCTGCCAACTCACTCACGGCTATCTTTGTTCTTCTTTTCTTGCTTTTATCATTTTTTATCAACTACAAAAAGTTTTATCTTGTCTGTTTCAGTAAGTTTAGACAATTGTTGCAGTTGCTGTGCTCTTTAAAATTACTTCTTTTACAGTCGGAGCCATTTTGTTGCGCGTCAAATCGGCGATGGACATGTTACACACATCGATTTGCTGAAAAGTCGTCATCTTGTGTTGCAAGTTTTTGGAGCCAGATCAAAAACTTGCAACATGTTGAAGAGTGAAAAAATTTCACGAAAAATCGTCCTCGGCGCTGTGTTACACGACAACGATTTTTCGTGCAACAGTGTTGCGCAAAAAATCGGCGTTGCAAATTGGTCCGTGTAACACTACAATAAGATTTAAAGTAATTGAGCACGTGCATTTACAGTGCAAATTTCCGACATGACGTCTATTCCGTCACCTAAACCGCCCATAATGCATCGCAATGCAAATTCGACCCAGTTTTTCCTCAACCTTGGATTGGCTAATACTTTAATATTTTGATCACTCCCTCGTGCAATTAATTTAGCTCTACTATTCCTGTTTTTACAGGGACAAAAGGCGACGACCTCCTCGATCTAATGGACCAAGCGTGAAGACTATACACCGCTCACACCACACTTATTTATTTAATTCCAAAGGTTTTATTTGCAGTTGCAAAAATATGATTGAAAAGGATGGGTGAAATGAATAATAAAATTCGATATTTGTATAGGAAATCGCACGATCCCGAGTACAATTCGGAATTTATAGGTACGAGTGATGCTTTGAAAGTTTTCAAACTTGGACGAGGTTTTAGGCGAGTTCAATTTGAGAACTTTCAAAACATCACGAGTATCTATAAATTCCGAATTGTACGAGAAGATTGTGCGTTTTTTTGCTTATGATACACTCAGGGGAAATTGAGCAAAAATTAGGACTCTACAGAGTACAATTTGGGATTTAATTGTACTCCTCTTGTCCAATCAGAATCGAGTAATTTTGTAGAGTGTATTATAACAGCACAAAAAAGAATAGAAATCTTATTGGAATTTTCACATTATTTCTCGTTTCAAAAATCTGGGATTTTGGCTATCTGTTTAGGTCGCAATATTCTAGAGAAAGCTTGTGACAATTTATGATTTAGAGTGATGTAAGAAGTTCACATCAAGAGTTGTCTAGAGAAACGTTTTTGTTGTTACTGTTATTTTGTGATCGTATATTCAATGGTTTATTTTGTTCCAATAGAGCTAGCGGTTTTTGTATGTGTAGGAAACTTACGTTATTGCAAACTCGTAGGCATTCTGTTATTGGCCGTATTTTACCGTAACCGTAACTACGTCGGTTGTGATTGTATGAATTGCTGTCAAGGCAAACCAAGACCCCTTGCACTAAATCCCCCGATGAGTGTCAAAACAATGAAAGGTATTGCGGGGAACTCCAACCTCGGCTTGGAACTATTATTCGTGGTCACTGAACGTAACTGTAAAATGGAGTACACTCAAAGCCATTTGTGCTAACAGGCCACGTGATCGTCACGTGATTTTACGGAAAGGAAGCAGATGCGAAGTACAAAATTTGAAATAGCATCTCGATATTAGTATAAAGAAGGATTTCCATTCCTGGATTACATTTTCGATTTGCATCGTTAGAGGGGCTGCAGGCACGTGACCCGTCGCTGGAAAAAGAGGTTTTGCACCATCACGTGACGCCAGCCATGTTGGATGGCAGGAACAATACAATCGTTTAACATGAGAAATGATTCAATTCCCAAGAGGAAAGGGATTTTTTTGTTCTGCCATCTAACCACAGGCAGTCCAAGCTGTATTATGTGGGTGGGCACATGATGGTGCAAAACCGCTATAGCCATTTCAGACGTTCAAACGTTTATCATGAAAAGTTTTACCTTTTTGTGATAAGCAAGTAAATAATTCAACCTCTCTACTAAGCYGGATCATATTTCACTTCCCTTGAGACTTATGATGTTTATCTACAGACTAGTGCCCAGTCGCTTCTTTCACCCGCGTTCTACCCAGACTCCTCCAGAAACGTCTGCATTTATTGTAAAAATATTTCGTGGTAATACCAGAAAGATCAAGAAACTAATCCTTGAAATGTCGGAAAAATCTGAAAATTCAAAATGATAAAAGCCAAAAAATGACACTCGCAAAAATACTAGTGGCAGCGGTGGGATTCGAACCCACGCCTCTGACGAGACTGGTGCCTTAAACCAGCGCCTTAGACCGCTCGGCCACGCTACCAGATGAAAATAAAGTGAGTGATAGGTACAATTTAAACATTATTTCAGGTCGAAGTTTGCTCTACTCATCAGTAGATGTCCCTCTTTAACTTCATTGTCCTTCCTTCGTTGCCAAACATTAATTGTTTTATCACAAAGACATTATTTTGATGTAAGTGCTAGAGAACTCAAATAAATATGCACGTTAAGTCTAAGCAGAGATTTTCATCAAAAAAACTTCTGATCTCCTTAATTTATTATTCTATGCTATGGATAAATCATTTTTCAGCAATAAGCTTTTATTTATTATTATCATTCATTATTCATTATTTCATTATTTTTTTATCCAATATGGAAATTTTAATATCAAGACCAAAACCTTCAGTGACGTCACTGATTTGCAACACAGTGAGCCCACAACTGAATATCCCTTTATTCAGTAAGAATATCATTAAGTGTTAAGTCGGATATAATATTATATTTGAATCATTAAAAAAAGTATTCGTTTCTGATTTTCTTTGGCTTTTTCAATGAACATGAAGATTTCATGCCTAAAGTCATGTTTTTCTCCACTAAAGTGCATTGTCAGCGCCCCCTTGTGATGTCATCTATGACGCAGCACCTCGAGGCAAACAGTCCAGGTTCCTTGTGATTGTAAGCAAAGGTTTAAAATATTCGTCTAAAAATCACTGTGATTTCTCTTCAAGTTAGCCTAGCTTGTGAGAACTTGAATACATCAACCCTTTGAAAGTTCAAATATGTTATCAGGGGGATTTTTAAGACGTTTTGGAGCGAGTTTTACACCAACGACTGCTGTTGCTTCGTCTACGAGAAACCTGCTTTCCAAACCAAAAACCGCCATTTTGAGCCCTCTTTCTTCCTTTAATCGTTGCTTATGCGAAGCAAARCTTACAAACACTTATGAAGGTTAGTTTTTAAAGTCGTTTTTGTTCAATTATAAGGGAATTGTGGATGTTTTTAGTTGCAATGTAAAGCCTTAAAAGTTTTTGTTTGCTTTGGTAATGACGTCTTATAAAGATCTTTTTCTTTTTTTTTTGTTTTTTGTTTATCAATTACGTACCCTTGAGGGGAGGCTGAAAGAAAATTAGGAGTTGCTTTGAAAAAAATCACGAATCAAAAAAAAAAAATTCTTGTTGATACCACTTGCACTTTTCAGAGATTGGGTTTCCTGTGCACTTCTTATGCTTGTTGACATTCAAAGTACAGTAATAAAATCCCAATAACTCCAACCCTCCATGAATTGAAGCTAGTGCTAACTCGAACCAAAATTGAGCAAGTGACACATTTGTATATTCAGACCCCTAGTGATAACTCTTTTCTAAGCTTCGGGTATCCATGAGTTAAAAATGAGCAATGACTGAAAAACAACTGTCAATTCCATTATATGTTACATCTTCTTGATGCTATTTAACAAAAGATTTTTCATTAGCATCCATTTGTTAAATGCATCAAGATGGCCACCATGTTTTTGTCATATGACCTTCTTGGGAATACTTGCAACCCATTAATACAGTTGTTTGAATCTAAAAGTGAACACATGAAAAGGAAAACATGCTCTAACTGGTAGGCAAAACATAGGAAGTTAGTCAACCAGAAAGTGCATGTTTGGCACGAGGCTGGCTTATTTCAAAGAGACGAGTGCCAAACATGCACTTTCTGGTTGACTAACTTCCTATGTTTCAGCGACCATTATTAGACCATGTTTTACGTTCACTCCTAGATGCAAACGACTGTATGTATGGTCTGTTATATTATGGAGGGTTAGGGTTGTCATGGCGCTGTCTCTCAAAACTTTGTAGTCCAATCAATACTTTACTGATAGCAGTATGTTGGGACTCTCATTTTAAAGGGTGCTGTGTACATGTACATGTGTTGTCATGAAACTCTCTCACACCAATGTGTAGTTACTGTCATTCTACTCTAACCATGAACACTCAATTTTATTTTAACTTTTATTCGTTTAAATATTCAATACTTTGTCTAATGTCCAGCCAGAACTGGGACTTGTCCGTTCAAATCTTTGGCTTATTGGTCATTTTGACCAGTATTAATTGGCCAGAAATGAGGTATGACTAAGCTAAAACTAATTTGGCCTGAGATTATGACCGACGACTGATTGGCCATTATTTTAAGCCCTGGGAATTCCATAAGTAGAATGAACTATTCATTCACATCCATTGTATACCCATATATTTAAATGTGTTTTTTTTTAACAGAGACAACTCGCAATATCCCAAAGTATCAGCTTCAAGCTATTGATAAATTTTTCTTGGTTGTGACTGGCACAATGAAACGTGGAGAAATCCCCAATGAAGTCAGGTCAGTTCTACTAATACCATATTTTACCACAAATTGTTAATTTCTCACATGCTGATTGGCTAATTTTCATCATCGATAAGAGGACAGACCAATAAGCTGCGACAATGAGTGTGCTCTTTCTGTTACTCATTTTGATCATTTGTGTGGTAAAAAACAAATCCAGGTTCCTTTTCTATGGTTTGTGGTGTCATTGTTCCACTTGAGTTTGGCTCATATGCTGATGTTACTCCATGTTCGATAAGAGTACAGACAATCATAGAAAATAGACCTTGATTTGCTAATTATTATATAATCATTTACACCTACAGGTATTTCAAAAAACAATGTCATCACCAAAGGTGATAGGCAATAGGCGATAGGCGAAAAGCAATAGGAGATAGGTTATTCCAAGATCCAAGAATAGCTGGAATGACTTGTGTTTCTGCTTCTTATTGTCGTCAAGAACATGGACCTTAGTGTTGAGACTGATTCAATATTCTTTGTAGTGAACAAAACTATTTCCATCTCAGATTGACCTATTGCCTTTGGCAATGACAATGTTTTTTGAATTGGCTGTAGGTGTTTATTCCAAGGCCAAAAGGAATTATTGGTGAAGCTAAACATGTATATACCTTTACAACAATGGTAAAATTAATCTAAAAAAAATAACAGGAAAAAACTATGTTTGCTTTACACACACCGAACGCATAATTTATTACTACTATGCTATTTCTATTCTTTGTGTACATATTTACGGCGTCAACTTACCTATAGAGAAAAAACATTGCTCTGGGATCCTCATGAGTACCCTACGTTTCATATTCTGGCTGCGTTAGCAGCGTGGTTGGTCATTGTGGTGTAGTGGCTAACACATCGGACTGGAATACYGAAGACGTGGGTTCAATTCCCGCCAAGGGCATTTGATATTTTTCTCTTATTCTTTCTATGTTTGCTTACTTCAGTTTTCAAAAACATTGAACTCTGTGTCTGCGGGCTGCATGCTGAATTTTGCTTTTTCACTGCTGTCAATCAAACCTAATCAGTTGGTACAGTACCTCATATTTTTGACTGGTGTCAGCAAAAAACCAGCTTGCAGACACAGAGTTTGCATGTTTATGAAATTGCGGTAAAGTTTTGTAAAAAGTGATAACCAGTAACTAATGTGAGTAAGCTGTACGCTGTAATTTTTTTACTAATTAATAATAAATTTATCATTTAAATCATAGTTATGAAATTGTGGAGAAATCACAGAACCGAAGACGAATCATGGTCAACATCCTCACCATCTTTCTTACTATCTTTGGTAGTGCTTATGCTATTAACCGAGGTAGAAAAGCAAGAGATCATAAAACAGAAGATAACGTGTTTGAGATGAATGTCAAGAGATATGAACGGTTGAGAGAAAAAGACAATCTGGCTAAACTTGGTAAAGAAGGTTAAATTTTTAGAGAGCTAGTGTTGTGAGACTTACTGTCCTATCCTCATCAAACTTTATAGGAAAGACTAGATTGTATGCCATCAATAATACTCCATGTAAGTCTCCTCCAGAGTATGGTCATCACTTAGGAGATATGACAAGAGATTTTACAAATTAGTTAAGCAAATATATATATAGAAGATTTTTTGAATCCCATACTTTCTTACATACACTCAATAGAAGAATCGTTGTTGGATTCAGAAACATAGAACATAAAAGCTGAGACTGAAATGGCACATGGGAAATGATATAATTATATTATGATTTATTCATTTGCGTCATCTATGCAGCCGGTTTAGAATGCCAAACGTGTATTAAAAACAGTGGATGATGTCAGGGGTCGCCGGTCATAGCATGCATCTAAATAATATACTTCCCTTGTGCCATTTCGGTCTCAGCTCCTATGTTCTATGTTTCTGAACCTGACAATGATTCTTCAATTGAGTGTATACAGTACTTACCAAATACATGAGTGAGAACATCCATCGTTAGCCAAGTATAGACTTGAGGTGCAATAATATGGTACAAAATTATATGACTTCTCGTGCAACATTGTTGCGTTGCAAGTTAAAAAGTAGAGCCACTTTCTACTTTTTACAACAAACAGACACAAAATGCAATATTGATTTTTATTGTGTAAATTTAAGAGAGGTTGTGTAGTTATATATCTTAAGTTATACTACTCAAACAAAGTATTTATTACTGGAATACCTGTGGTAAGCCAGTTATAAAATACTTTTGCATTTAATTCTGATATTTCTGATTCCTCTGCAACAAAATGGCAAAGTTTTGCAATAGTTCCCATACCAGGGCTCTTCAGGATCTTATACCCAAGAGACCTTTGCAGGCTTCTGCTATAGGGTTCCACTTAACAGTCCTATCAGTTAGCATGTACCAGCTGTTATCAATGTCATCGTGTTGTCCAATGATTAAGAGAGGGTGGAGCTTGCTGATCGCATAACAATTAATTATTGGATGCTCTATTTTGACTGGTGTACTGTAAATCAAGCAGCCTATAAACATTTATCTACTCGTAATCAAGGTTTTCTAAGCAATGTCACAGTCATCTATGCATTAGAAGTATAGGCATCTTGCATGTGACCTCAAAGCAGCTCAATCTTGGGACAAAACAAAAGAATTCCAATCTTCTGATAATTGGAACCTATTGTTTTGGCCCCCAGATTGAGCTGCATTCCAAAGTGCTGCAAAGGGTCTATAAACCTTCATAACTTAAAGATGTATCACTCAAATCAAAAAAAAAACATGTCACCGTTCAACTATTTACTTTATGTGGAATCAATACTAAAAGAATTGAATCTAGGGTTTAATACTAAGGTGTAATTTGATTTAATTGACTTTAAAAAGTCATAATTTTATTTGAAACATGAAGATTGTAATGAAATATTTTGTTTGTATCATTGTCAGATAATAAAGACATCTAAAAACAAGGAAATTATTTAAAAGAAAAAAAAGGTTTCAAGCACGCACTGGCTCCGTATGTGAGGGATTCGTTATTCTATGTGTTTTTCCTCCTCTTGTGGTTCATAGCTGTCAGCCCATCAGTGCATGAGAAATTATTTGTATGTTATTAAAAAATTGGTTTACCATTAAAATCTATAAATTTGGGTCCTGCATGTACTTCATACCTATTGTATTGTACTCTTTGTTAGCTTCATTTTATTGGGGGGGGGGGGGGTTGGAAAATGTAGCACACTAATAGCATAATACTATGGGTTCTGAGGGTATGAAGAGTTCAACAACCTTAATTTAGTGAACAGTTGTTTTCAGCAATTTATACCTCTTCTAAGCGACCAACCTCTGTTTAGTCAGTTGACTTCACATGATGAAAGAACTACTCAAATTGAGAATTCAGGAATTATCCATTGTTGTCGAACAAGGCTCGACCAGAATGGAGATCCTCCAATGAGCTTATAATGGTGTGGTTGAGTGCTAGTTCACATACTGTGTCGAGGTATTTTTTTGATGGGTGGGGGAGGGATGGGTCAGGTTATGGGTGGATGAATGAATGGATGGGGGAAAGGATGGCAGAATGGATTGATGGGTGGGTGGACGAATGGATGGGTGGAAGGATGGCAGGGTGGATG